AATTAGCTACTAGTCGTAACGAATTATGTCTCATGGTAGATAGTCTGGTAAAAAATACTATTCACGTGATATTTGGATAATTTTTTTTCAAATAGTGACACTTTGGTCGATGTTTCCTAAATCTTATAACTTCCATTGTAACCAAATTTTTTTTTTATTAATTTTATGTTAAAGGAGATAAATTATCTCATGTCATAGAGACAAATTTGTGAGCTCCACCATCTGAAAAATAAAAAGAAAAGAAATGAAAAAAGTGAAACTATTATCGAAGAATGTGTAAGAGAAAAAGTTATCACATGTAACATAAGACTAATTTTTCAAAAAATAAATAAAAATACTTCCTTCCATCGTTATCCATTAACCAACTCCAGTAATCCGCAACCTTTTTTTTATCATTTGGCTGTTTGAATTAATTAAATTTTATGTTTTGTCTCTAAAGAATAATGATCGGTTCTCCGAATGTCAACTTCTTACTTGATCAATCTTCTGCAAAATTTAGGCAGGGGTTACATCATAAAATTATAGTAAAAACTTATTATTGAATAAAAAAATATTTATTATTATTTAATATAAAGTATTTTGTGATCATAATTTAAAAAAATTAAACATAAATATATCATTAGTTACTTATGTTATAAATAATCTTAGATTAGAGTACTTTTTTCTCAAATTATTAGTGCAGAGTTTAAGCGTAACAAACTAGGCATGGTGGGAAAGTCATGACTTTGGTAACTGGGTTGAAAATTGAAACTTCAAGGAAAGTCTAAAATTTATTACATAGGTACAAGAGTTTTGAGATGACTTTCGCTGAGCAAGACCAATAATATATAGGCCTATTAAATTATTTATATAAATTTACATCTAAAATTCAAATGATTAAAAGTATAATAATACTAGAGATATTTAATAAATCTTTATTTTGTTAATTAAGTTGATACTTTTATCTTTTCACTGGGAACAGCCACGTTGATCCCCTGTCGCCATTTAAATAAATAAGTTGACCTATAAACTCCAACCGACATAAACCAAGCTTGTCAACAAAATCCTCATACCTATTATTATCGTATGATGCAAAAAACTATGTTAACTTGGGAGCAAAACTATATTTAGTTGACTATTTGCAACTAAGCATGGGAATTGATATTAGCCAACTCTGACTCGTCTGTGAGTTAGCATTGCCCTTAATTACGTAAACGAAAAAAACAAAAATATTGAGGTGTTTTGCCCGAGGTTGGGAATTGGGATATATCCATGTTTATCCACCATTATTTAGAAGAGTTTGAGAGTACGTCTCTGAAGAGCTAATAAATTTTGATGGGAAGGGTCGGTATAGTTGACAATAGCCACATAAATATAACATCTTGGGATCAATGAAAGTCTGCAGCAGAACATTGTTGACCTTTCTTGTTCTGTGTTTGGAGAAAATATGTAGCCTGAAGCCTAGGCCTAGGTAGGATTAATCAAATATAGTATATATTAATGCGAAGACAGCCAACATACATATTTATTACCCTGCCACCACGCTAGTTTGATAAGCAGTGCAACTGCAACCATTATCTTCGCACAAAATTAATACAAGAAGTACATATATATTGTTTCAAAATAGGAGTTTAAAAAACATCTGAAAAAATTATGATGATAATATGACGATATGAGTGACTCAACTGATAAATAAGCATGGATTAAAAACAACCGCTGCAATAATTTAAGAATCTTGATGTCATCGCTTTAAAAGTTAGCTCAAAAGATGGAAGTGCCCAAGGCCTTATAAATCTCACATTAGTTGTCCATACAACCAACGTGGAACTATATTTCTCAATAATCTCAACACTCCATTCGTTAATTAGATGTAACTTCTAAGCAAGGATCATAAACAAATAGTATATATCCAATCAAGTATACCATGGAAACATGGGTCGTGATGGGACCTTGGCCCATCCCCGGTCCAAATCTTCCGTGACATTTTTCTTCTCTTGGGCCCAAATTCTCCCTTCTAGGATCAGTATCAAAATTTCTATTTTCTTCAAATTGGCATATAACTAAGACATTTATTCTGCTCATAATTGCATTCTGGGCGTGCACGTTCATGCGTGTTCATCTTTGCTTTGTAGTATAAGGAGTCATCTGACAGTTATATATTCCTAAGAGTTGGAGCACTTATTATGCACATAGCAGTTGTAAATTGCAATTCATATTTAAAAACGACTTATGTGGGTTGAGTTTTTAATAGTTATTAATTTGTGTTCTATTATGGGGTCATTAGCTTAGTTTATGCATTATCATACCATTAGCTAAAGTAAAAATGTTTATTACTGTCCTCGATTTTAAGTTTCGTTATCATTTTGTTAGGAATGGGAACTGTTTGGCATGGGCTTCTTCTGGATTATTTTTAATGGGAACTAATGGAGGGTATAAAGAATCAATTCAATCCAAAAGTTTAAGCTATTAAGTGAAAACTCATCAATGGTTTATATATTTTTCTAACACGTCTTTTTACACAACAGCCAACTGGACATGAAGAGTGGATAATACATAGGTCCACCTACTATGTAAAGAACAAATTCAATCCAAAACCTTAAGGTGTTGAGTAATGACATTTTTAATAGTTTATATTATTCTCTAACAGACCCTCTCACGCAAGAGCCCTTTGGGCTTGAAGCGTGGATATTATACAAGCCCAATTTTTTATTTACCTTATCTTATTTAATTCCACGAGTGGAGGTAGTGAGGATCGAACTCGTGACCTTATAGTTACTGAAGCTCTGATACAATGTAAAGAATCAATTCAATTCAAAAGCTTAAGCTATTAATTGAAGGACTATTAATGATTTATATATTTCTCTAACACGTACCCTCACATGACAGTCCATTGGCCATGAAGGGTGAATAATACACAGGTCCACCTATTTGTGCTAAGAAATTCCACAAGAAAAAGTTTGGGGGGTGAGGATTGGACTCATGACACTAAAGCTCTGATACCATATAAAGAACCAATTCAACCCAAAAAATTTAAGCGGTTAGGTAAAGGCCTCTTTAATGGTTTATATTATACTCTAACACGTCTCCTCACAAGAGAGCCTCAGCCAAATGTAGGCATACATCCAACATCAGAAGAATGTTACTTTCAATTATGTCTCAACAAATTATGTTTCAGGCCAAAACCTGCAGAGTTGTTGAGACCAAACTGTTGGTCCCAGATGAACTCAAGAGGGGTGAATTGAATTTATAAAATTTTCGCATCTTTTTAAAAACAAAAAGAGATTTTCAAAGATAATCAATAGAAAATAAAGCATGCCAAAATCACACAGCAATTTACGTGGAAAAACCTCCTTGGCTCAAAAGGAGTAAAAACCCATGGCACCAATCTGGATAAACTCTCCAATTGGTCAAAAACACTTCATTAAAAGAGCCAAAAATAATAGTACAAGGTTAGCCCTACACTACCCTTATACAATTCACACCCCCCAAATCTGAATGACTATTCAGCCACCCAAATGACACTTCACCAATAACTCACCTTCTGTCAACTCAGACAGAATCAATCAATCATGCACAATAGCTTAACTCTAAGCTAACAAAAAGATTTAATAATAGAAATACCATGTGCTTCTCGAATAAGCAAAGAGATACAATAGCAAACCTATGAGCATTAAAAGAGAGACCTTGATTATGCCTTGATTGCCACAATATTATAACTTATGCTCTGCTTGTGATCCTCCGGAATGGAATTTTATTTTTATAACCACAAAAGACTGAAGGACTGATTTTCAGATAATCTCTTTATCTTCTTTTTTTAAAAAAAAAGACCTTTTTATTTTTGAATCATAATCTAGAAGATTTTAAAAACAACCACAATATTTGAAAAGGGTGGTTTATTAGATAAAAAAATCCATCCAGAGATTTGTTTGTAAAACCAGTTTTTATCCTTGCTTTTCAAATATCTAAGGCAATCAAAATAAGATCAAGTTCCTTAACAGCTTTTACATGTTCTATTGAAGCTTATCTTCACTTTCTTCAACTCTTCTTAAATTGGTTCTCTTTGTTGGGCTGTATTTTTCTTTGACTTCAATATCCACTCGGTGATGGGCTTATGCTTTAGATTCAACCACTATAATTACCTTGGTCAAACATCATTTCATGCATACAGGGTCTATGCGCAACATGTCAGTCTCATAAAAAATTCCCAAACCCATTTCTAAACTTCAACCAACCTCAAAAAATTCCCAAACCCATTTCTCATCTTCAACCAATCTCTTCCAAAAAGTCATCTTCTTGCGGCCCAAGATAAAATCTTCATCTTTGTGGAAAAATCTGCAAGTTATTAAATTTACTATTTTTTCCTTGAAGCTATCAGACTTGATCCCATACTTTTCTTTCTCTTCATGATATTTTTCATATTTTCTCCAATCTTCATGCAATCTTCACTTATCTTAAATACTATTTTAAATCATAATAAATATTATTCTGAAATCTCAAACAATCGGCTCAATAGTAATTTCAAGATAATAAAATATTATCAATTAAATTTATATTGTAATCATCAAAACATATTTTAAATCAATTAAACAATTAGGGTATAACAAATATCCAACACAAGCATGCTAGAACCTACTGGCCAAGAGCAAATTTCTGAGAATTCTACCACAAAAGTGATACCCCGTTTCATTCCCCATGAATTGGCCACACAAGAGAGGCAGAATTTCTTTTTCTTAATTTTTTTTTTAAATGGAACATAATTTCACCAAAAAATAATTATTATGAGACCAGAGTACATGGTGTGGGAGGAAGATGTTAATCTAGATAATGAAAACCTCTTGAGCTTTACCATCATCACAAAGGACATAGAAGCTCCGAGTCCGTGCCCAACATGGAGACTTTGGGAGAACTAAAGACAATCACGTTGAAACTAAAAATAAATGACGTTGTATTGATTTTCTGCATCTCATAATTTACAACAAAGCTTTTGGCTGGATAGCCTTCCATGTGTGAAGTACATCTGCTATATTATCGAACAGAAACTACGCTACATTAATCGACAAGAAAGCTTTCACTTTTGTGTAAGTTTTATTTATTTATTTATTTATTTTTTGGCGGGGAGAGAAAGAAGAAGAAGAAAAGTATAGCACCTAGGATAAAGAAATGATATAACCTATACTTGTGAATATGTGTGACTGTACGAAAGCTACTCTTCACAAAATGGCAACATGAGTACAGAGAGACTAACGAACAAGTGCTCCCTCTACCCCTAAAAAATGCCTCATAACTAACGAAGAAGCCTGACAACTCAGATTGAATGTGAAATTTGCCAACAATGGAGACTTTCTATCAGAAGTTAAAAAACATGCATCTATCTGTTCAAAGGTTCTAACTGGACTTCCATTCTTGTAGAGACTTGTGACTCTTTATCTGCAGGTCTCCTGGTTGGGCTCAAGAGATCAAGGGACTCATCTTCTTCAAGATTACCAAGCACCCAATTACTTCTTCCAAATATCCGGTCCCTTTTTAGCTGCTTTTCCCGGTATTCCAAATAAAGAACAGTCAATGCACCAACTGTGAACCAAATCACCAATGCCCAATTGAGTCCATGGACATTTTCCACGCCATATCTGTCTCCCAAATGCTTCATGCCACTAAAAAGTGCTGCAATGCCAACAACAATGGCAGATCTGCCAATAATTATGTGGGAGTATTCCCAAAGAACCCTCTTAAAGGGTGCCTGCTCCCCATTTGCTTGTTTTTGCGGCCTTAAGGATGCATTCACTGGCTGTACACAAGCCAAAAATATTGCAGCAATTCCAAATTTAACATGTGCTGAGCTGACAACAAATCCCCGAAGCTCAGCAACTGCAAAAAGAAGGGCAAGTAGAACAATTGCTAACCCTGAGTATTGCAAGTAAACATGAATTTTGTACCATCCATCACCCCTAAAATGTTTCAAGTATCTAGCTGCCAAAATACCTCCAGGAAGCAAGATACCCCATGCAAGAAACATCATAAAGCCATGCACAGCCAGAACAGGAAGTAAATCCTGCTCTGCTTCTGAAGAACCACGCATTAGCAGTACAAGTATAGGCCTACTACTAGTAAAAGAATGCATATTCCTTTCACTAAGATGTTCATTAGACCATCGAGCACCCATCGCCCAAACAACTTTAAGTGGAGTTGTGGGATCAATAATATTCTTACATTCCGGCCTATTGCCCCGACCACAAGAAGGCTGCAAGGGACGCGTAAATTCCAAAGTAATAATGCCATTTTCTGTTTTGCATCTCACATATGTCAAATTCTCATGTGTAAGATGTATACTTGAAGCATCCTTTCCGTCAATCCAGTAAGTGTTTACACGACCTACACCATTATCATCGATCCAGCCTACATAAGCATAGCTGTATATCATTCCACTTCCAAATCCTACGGCAAGATAACCACTCTTTTTCTCAGCACGAGCAGCAATAGATATGGAATCCTTCGACAATGTCCAAAAGAAGGTAACCTGTTGATCATCCAGAACAACACTGTTATTATACATGTCAGATAAACCCCCATCAACAACCTCAACTCTCCAACCCATCTTCTTCTCATACAATGAATGATAGTAGACATGATCAGGAGTGTTCCTGTCAGGAGCCCAAACTAATTCTGTAGGACTGGCTTGAACTCCCTCTGCCACAGGACCTCCTGCATAAATAGTCTCAGTCAGATTCCTCAGAGTAGCATTTCCACCAATCGGATCTGAAGTAACATAGAGTGCAACATCATGCCCAGCCTGTATTGAAAACGTGACTGGCACCCCTCTTTCCACTCTCAAGACAGGAGCTTCCTTTTTGTTGATGTAAAGAACTTTTGCAGGATTTGGGGGGTTGGGGTAATGTAATGCTGGACCAGATGAAACAACCAAAGGAACTTTAGCATCAGCAATGATAACATCTTGATCCTCTTTATCTTGAGCATCCAGAGGACCTATACAGTCATTGACATGAGCCGAAACATTAAGAACCAAATGGCCAAAAGTCTCAAACGGAAGACCCCCATGATTCTGGGGAAGATAGTAAGGTTGAAGAGTATCAGGAGGTCTAATCTTCCCCAAAGCCCAAATAACAGTCATATTAGCCAAATGATCAACAGGGTGATCATATTTGCTATCAACTTGACTCAATGGCCTCTTGTATCTAATGAAAGAAACGCCATCTCTCCTCTGCCCATAAATTAACCTAGTATCATTCACCAAACCAACCCTATCTGGTCCTTCATAAATTGAATCGGGACAAACCCCTTGTGCAGATCCATCCTCGCTGTTTGTCACACACTCACTATACTTAGTAATGAAGAAATCATCCACAAAGGGCAACCCATCTTCCTTAAACCCTGTCACAGCCACGTCCGCACCTACCATGAGCTCAGAATCAGTGGCATTGGGGTTTGCCCAACCAAAAGCCATGTAATTCATAACACCAGTTGCACCCTCCAACCCAATCTCGATGGAATCCTCCTTCACATTCAAACTCCACCGAACCCTCAAGTCCTTCGACAAAACCTTACAATTCTCAAACATAGTTGGCTCCGTGTGAACACCGTTCTCCGTCGCATTGGTCAACTCTCCGAGCACGACGTGGCCGAAATCCGAGGCCGTGGGTCGGTCCCACACGGCCAGTACATGGATCATGTCCCATGTAACGTTCTGCAACAAACGCACGACGAGGGTGGAATTGGCGTAAGTTTGGTTCAATTTCTGATCGGAAATGATGAATCCTCTTGTAACGTTGTCGAAATCGGGAGCGAGTGCACCCCACCAGTGCACATCGGACCCAGAAAGCATGTCGAATTGGGAAACCCTAAAAGAGCAATCGTCCATGATTTTGAGGTAGCCTCTGAGTTGGTGCTGAACCATTTTGAATTCGGACTCCAAATCGACCAAAGGGCTGGTCCGAGTGCAATTCGGTGGAGGATCCGCATAGCCGAAGAACAAAAAGGATAGGAAGATGAAGATGTAGATGGATTCGCGAAGCATGTGGATGAGATCCGGAATACAATGACGCGGGTACTCTTCGGAATCCGAATTGCCGTTCGTCAATGGAAGGGAGGGAAGGTGGTAATCGGAGAAACGCCGCGATCGCCGTCGTCGTCGAAGCAAAAGCAGCAGCAAACCACGGCGGGGTGGTAGTTTCTTTCTTTTTTGAAAAAAAGAAAAGAAAAATGAGAAAACGTTTTTGTTGCGTTTGCGGGTTCGTTGGAGCTGGGTTTTAGTTGACAGGTGACAACTTCGTTATGATTCAGGTTTTGGGTGAAGAAATTGAGAACAGCACTTGTCGTACCCAAAGTGAGAGTCCTATAAAGTAAACCATGATTTACTTGTTTTGTTTTTGTGCCCATTGTTTAGAAATGGTTGTCGCCATCGTTATTGTATTGCACTATGGATCATGGTTCGTTAATTTTTCATATGAAAGAAAGTAAATTAGAGACTTCTTGGAGAATGCTTGCTTCGCTAGATTCAATTTGAAATCCCTGTTTTAGTTTTTGTGATATATATATATATATATATATATATATATATATATATATATATATATATGAAAAAAATGTTTGTCATTTTAAATGATAAAAAGTATATCATTTTAAATGATATAAAATAATGTCATTTTAAGAGAGAGATAGACATAAAATAATTTTTTTATTTAAAATTTAAATTAAAAAAAAATCACTCATTTTCTTCCAAATAATTTTCATTATTCATGTCTATCTCTCTCTTAAAATGACATTATTTATGTTCTTTAAAAGGACAAACATCAAATCCTATATATATATATATATATATATATATATATATAAAAAGAAAGATTAAAAAAAAAAACCAACTAAAGCCGGACAAAAAGTTGCTGAGAGTATTATATTAGGGGAGTGAATTCAAAAAGTATGGTGTCATATCACACTCTCGAAGGACTCAACTGGCCGTATCCCGTATGTCTCTAAAATCTCGTGGAGATAAAGTTCAACCCACTCATAAGTAATAGTAAAGATATAATGAGTATTAGGTCATCAAATCACTTGTCATAAGATTCGGGAAAGACGAACTATAATAGGTTCACAAGCAATTGCCCAAGTGCGCCCAACCAACCAACTAGGATAGGTAACAAACAAACTTGGTGGCATTAATAAGCTCATGCTCGTCGATCTTTATATGCAAAGTATCTTTCCACGTTTACTACCAAAAATACAAGCAATTTCTTATTTGCTATTTTCAATTATCACTTCGTGTGTGTGTATATATATATTATTTCGTTTCTTACAATCTATTTTTGCTTTTATATAAATTCATCAATCGACGACCCTAAACTAAGACCCTAATAAGAATATTACTATAACTTTGACAAAATAACGTCTAAAGCTTTGGAAGAAAACTTTTATCCGATGATCATAACTTGACACTGAACTAATTGTCCTTAATTGAACTAGCTCACCCCAAACACTCTACCATGGTCCATGAATTCTTCAAAACGCTATAACTTTTATTTTAGTCCAATTCCAATCATGGTATAGAAAAAAGGTCAAGCGCACCAACCCAATTTTTTTTTAAGAAAACCAAAGTTCAGAGTCACAGATTTCAACATAAACCCAAGGAAATTCTTACAACATTATACATCAACATCACCTTTTGGATTGAAATTGCTTCTTACATGTATCTGATAAATACAAGTTGCAAACAGTGAATGGGCTTCGCAAAGGTTCCAGATGATTATCAGCTATCTGCCCATGTAAACGACCATCAGGCTGTCTCCACCTACCAAATTCATTAAAACAGCATCACTACATTGAGTATCTTTAGTAGAAGGTTCAGGTTACTTTAATGGAATGCATTGCTGAGTATTTCCTGGCTTTCATTTGATCCCAATGTTACAGAGAGAAATAACGAAGAGTGGTAACAAATATTCACAGCACTTATTTTGCCCGTGCTGAAATGTTTCAAATTTGTCAAAAGTCATAATAATTATCATAATCATACTCAGAAAATTCACTCCCACCTGAGAATTCATAATAGTCATAATCACCATCAGACAAGAAATCTATGTCTGACGTCCCAGATGGGTAGTCTTCATTAAGTAATCCATAATCAATTTCAACTTCAAATGGGTAGTCATCCGTGTGATCATATGGAAGCCGAAAATCTTTAATCTGTTCAGCACATCTCCTCCCCAAACTTCCTCCCAAATTAAGATTGAAACACTGTCGTACATCAAGAGATTCAAGGTGAGGACAGCCATCAAGAATGGCAAGCAAGCCATCATTAGTCAGCTTGTTTCCAAAAAGCTGGAGATGGCGTAACTCTGGCATGGTTTGTGCAATAGCTAATGCGTCCTCATCACACTCCATGTGCGGATGCCTGTAACTTTCCATGTTGAATTTCAAGGATTTTAAGTGAGGGCAAGATCGGCCAATAGCTTCTAGAGGATCACTGGATAAGTTGCTGATTGATATATCAAGTTCCTCCAACTGAGCAAGGTTTTTTGCAACTTCACACAATCCTTCATCCGATATGCTAAAGCAACATGCAAGACGTAGGCGTCGTAGATGACTTGTACTGTAAAATGGCAACACAAAATAGGGTGAGATAGTGTTAAATAGAGATGCTACCAAAAGATATGCTGTGACATTGGTAAATTAACTAAATAGAGATGCTACCAAATGATCTGTCTGGTAAAATATCTAAATATGTGAAATTTCATATTTATATAATGAACATTTTCCACTTCAAACAGAAGAACCAAAAACCAATTGTGTTACGACACATACTGACAGACATGCTTTCAGTAATACCTTCATCACACACCACAAATCAATTCTATATCATATACCATAGCTGAAATAAAAGACGATTTGCAGTTAGCATTAAATCAAAGTATCACAGTTCAATATAGTCATCACTACTCGTAATCTCAATCCCAGGAAATAGGAAGCATCATTTCAAATTCTAACAGAAAAATGGAGAAAAGAAGAAATGAAAATGAAAAATTGACTTTGAACATTACATAAATGAACTTTCTTCATTTAACTGCAATCACCTAGAGGACAAAAGTAGCAAAATTTTGAAAATTAAATAGTAAATTAAAAATACTCTCCCTTGAGGTCGAAGTTAATTACACTTGATAGTGTCTTTGATTGGTAAATAACACCCTACTGCCTTACCAATAACTGGAATAAAATGACATCAATGAGTATTGTAATTTTCACTTTTTCCAATCATTTTTCAGAATTCCTCATCCATCATGCTTCTTATTTAGTACATCTGCTTGGGTCCTAAACTTGATTTTCCAACTCATTTCTAGTCAAAATCCCAGATACTATTTTTTCTATCCCTCCAAGTCCAAACCTGTGACAAATCCTGCCACTATTAGGCTACACCTACTTCTATCCTCTAGATCTGCTTCAAATTCATAGATGTTTTCAGCTTCATGGTAGAACTCTATTACTTTGAAGATAAAAACCAACCAAGACAACAGCTTCTTTCAAAAATAAACCTTTTGCTCCGAAACCCACCATATTATTGATCAAACAGAAACGGAATGGTTTGACAGTCGGTACCGATTGTAGCAATTTTAGCGAACAAAGACTTAAAACAAAAAGCAGGACCCAAGACACGATGAAATTATTCAATCTGAAAATATTGAAACGTGGAACTTACGAATGAGTGATGTAGTGAAGGAGATCATCGGTACCGAAATACTCGATGTTAATATCGAGCAAAAGGCCAGAGCTATAGTCAATTGCACGGCGACACATAATCCCCAAATCGTAGTCGATGTCGTTGAGATCACCAGAATTGTGCATGTCGATGGTGCGCCAAAGGAGAGGGTCCTTCGAGATGTTGCGCCACACAGAGCAAACACGCTGAACGTTAATCAGGATCTCCATAGCCCCCAGCTTCATGAATATCGTTGACACCACATCTCGTGGAAGATCCAGCCAATTTCGTTCTTCACAATCGCTTACTGCCTTCGAATTCGAAGAAGACGATGACGACGATGCCTCCATCGAATAATCAACGTTGGTTGTGGTTGCGATTGCGGTGGTGCTCACGAAATGATTTTCCCAAGGTAATATTTTCTTTCCCTTTTCCTCTAAGTCGTTATGTGTACACACACACAACACACACACACACACAGAGAGAGAGAGAGAGAGAGGGGAATGCATAATGGGCCTCATTTGATTAGGCTAGCCCATTGTACGGCCCATAAATATATAATATTTTATTAAGCTCAGTTTTGATAAAAAGAGGTCCAAAGCTAAGCCCAATTCTACCCATGAAGTTGGAAAATGAACACTATTTATGAATGAATGGACAGTGCTAAAGAAAGGGCTTCTCTTAGGGATCTTATATGGTCGTTGCATGGACCTTGTGTTATTACAATTTACAACTTAGTGAGTAACTATATTAGTTTGTTTTTTTGTGATTTATTGGTCAACCCTATATTGCACCGACATTGACATGAGATATGAGATATAACACGATATTCTGACATGTTAATTCTAAAAAATATTAGATTTCAACATGTTAAGACATGTTTTAATATTAAATAATATTTTTTAATTTATGTATTGTATATTATATATAATATTCAATAATTTAACAAAAAAATGAAACTAAACTTATAATACCCATCAATTTTGTAAAGAAGCATAAGATATCTCAAAGCATGAAGCTAAACTTGTGTTACTAGTTTTATTCTTTAAGTTATTTATTTTACTAAAAGCTAAGATATAGCAGAACACAAATAGATTTATTTTTTAATTTTTAAAATAGTATAAGTATTGAAACAAAAAACAGCTGTACAAAATGTTTAAATTTTTATTATCTACTAAATCAGTTTAGAAAATTCTGTCCAAGAAAGATAAAAAGATCAATAATCCATCTGTAACGCTCGACCGCTTCAAGAATCAATGATTATCCTCACATACTAACACGAGACTTTTCAGTGTACTTTTCTTCACTCGCACACTTCTCGGGAAAACTTCCCAGAGGTCACCCATCTCATAATTGCTCCAAGTCAAGCACGCTTAACTGTGGAGTTCTTCCGTTCCGGGCTATCGAAAAGCAAATGCATCTTGTTAGTATAGGTAGTACCAATTAATTCTTATAAGCTATTCCCAAACTGTGCAGTCTCACACTTGCACAGTCTTTGGAATCCCTCTCTTTCGGGTGTCGATTCGATTCATTCGTTCATGTAACCCCCCGCTGGAAGCCTGTCAGAAGCCGCCCATTGTCCATGCCCTTTGACACCGGCGATCACTCCCCGCCCTCGTCAGCGCTTGGGATGTTACATGCCCACCAGCTTCTGCCTGGTTCGTCCTCGAACCACACCGTACTGGAAGAGAGGCTCTGCTCTGATACCACTTGTAACGCCTGGCCGCTTCAAGAATCAACGACTATCCCCACATACTAACACGAGACTTTTCAGTGTGCTTTTTCCTCACTCGCACACTTCCCGAGAAAACTTCTCAGGAGATCACCCATCCTAGAATTGCTCCAAGTCAAGCACGCTTAACTATGGAGTTCTTCCGATCCAGGTTACCGAAAAGCATATGCATCTTGTTAGTATAGGTAGTACCAATTAATTCTTATAAACTTTTCGGTACTACCTATACTAAAAAGATGCATCTGCTTTTCGTGTATAATCCTGCATAATCTCGAATGTTATCCGTTCCGGTACGTAGACTAAATGATACAATGCAAGCAAAAGTTCCTAGATTCATGGAGATATAGAACAACATATAAGTTATCATGCTTGCATATCCACCATTTGAGTCTCCAACAATTATTCCAATAATTACATATCCGATTTGACCTATGGACGAATACGCAAGCATACGTTTCATGCTTGTTTGGGTAATAGCAATGAGATTGGAGCTTCTAACTATGATGAATGTGCTACATATGGATATGATGCCGGAAATAGACCGATTTTATCTCACCCTTCAATTCGAATTAGCAAAAGCAATGTCTCCTTGCATAATATGGATTCCGAACATTCATGATCTGGATATGAATGAGTCGAATTACTTATCCTTCGGTCTATTAGTGAACTATCTCTCCAGGGATTGTGAAAGATGTTCCACTAGAAATATTCTTGTTATTGCTTCGACTCATATTCCCGAAAAAGTAGATCCCGCTCTAATAGCTCCGAATAAATTAAATACATGTATTAAGATACGAAGGCTTCTTATTCCACAACAACGAAAGCACTTTTTCACTCTTTCATATACTCGGGGATTTCACTTGGAAACGAAAATGTTCCATACTAATGGATTCGGGTCCATAACTATGGGTTTCAATGTACGAGATCTTGTAGCACTTACCAATGAGGCCCTATCGATTAGTATTATACAAAAGAAATCTATTATAGACACTAATCTAATTAGATCTGCTCTTCATAGACAAACTTGGGATTTGCGATCTCAGGTAAGATCGGTTCAGGATCATGGGATCCTTTTCTATCAGATAGGAAGGGTTGTTTCACAAAATGTACTTCTAAGTAATTGCTCTATAGATCCTATATCTATTTATATGAAGAAGAAATCCTGTAACGGGGGGGATTCTTATTTGTACAAGTGGTACTTCGAACTTGGAACGAGCATGAATAAATTAACGATACTTCTTTATCTTTTGAGTTGTTCTGCCGGATCGGTCGCTCAAGACCTTTGGTCTCTACCCCGACCTGATGAAAAAAATGGGATCATTTCTTATGGGCTCATTGAGAATGATTTTGATCTAGTTCATGGCCTATTAGAAGTAGAGGGCGCTCTGGTGGGATCCTTACGGACAGAAAAAGATTGCAGTCAATTTGCTAATGATCGAGTGACATTGCTTCTTCGGCTCGAACCAAGGAATCCCTTAAATACGATTCAAAATGGATCTTGTTCTATCGTTGATCAAAGATTTCTCTATGAAAAATATGAATCAGAGTTTGAAGAAGGGGAAGGAGTCCTCGACCCCCAACAAATAGAGGAGGATTTATTCAATCACATAGTTTGGGCTCCTAGAATATGGCGCCCTTGGGGCTTTCTATTTGATTGTATCGAAAGGCCCAATGAATTGGGATTTCCCTATTGGGCCGGGTCATTTCGGGGCAAGCAGATCATTTATGATGAAGAGGATGAGCTTCAAGAGAATGATTCGGAGTTCTTGCAGGGTGGAACCGTGCAGTACCAGACACGAGATAGATCTTCCAAAGAACAAGGCTTTTTTGGAATAAGTCAATTCATTTGGGAACCCTCGGATCCACTCTTTTTCCTATTCAAAGATCAGCCTTTTGTCTCTGTGTTTTCACATCGAGAATTCTTTGCAGATGAAGAGATGTCAAGGTATGGACTCTTGCTTGACTTGGAGCAATTCTAGGATGGGTGACCTCCTGAGAAGTTTTCTTGGGAAGTGTGCGAGTGAGGAAAAAGCACACTGAAAAGTGTCGTGTTAGTATGTGGGGATAGTCGTTGATTCTTGAAGCGGCCAAACGTTACATCATCCCTTAACCTCAAAGGATGTATGAGTAGCTAGCCCAATTTTAAAGGGTCCACGCTAAAGTCTCCTCCAAATTGGAGGCCGCTTGTAGAGGCGTTTATGGCGCTTACATCCACATGCAAGGATGTGAGGTGTAATTTTAAAAATATTAAAAAAACAAAAGTTTCCAATATTTGTCTTTTATTTTTAATTTTTTATACATAAATTTGTATTTACTTTAGTTGTGGTCAAAGGCAATTTATATTTATTATATGATTTGGTAACATGAGGACCGCGAAAGAGGCCAAATGTATAATATACCAACCACGTTCTCTTCGTTCCAAGCTGTGGGCTTTGGTGAGCTCCATTTTTCAACCTGGTTTGGTTATCTGTCAATCTGTCATCCATTATTTTCTCTGAATATGCAATATATTATGCACTTCCTGGTAAGATATTGTGAATAATGAAGAACATGACAAACAAAATCAACATATTAAGCAAAACAAGACATTAAATATCAAGTCACAATTTGGTTCAAAATCCATAAATGAATTATAAAACAAGATTACTACTATTTTGTTGTCCATCTGTCAAGTTTCCCAAGAATCAAAGAAAAAAACCAAGTTCACACTGTCTAAAGGTTAAAAAAAAAATCTTGCTTAGATATATTAGTTATGCAGAACAAGTCAATTATAAATTGATGTAATATCATTTTAAATAAAGAAAGTAATTATCTAACACAATATTCATATATTATTTAATGTTGATCGATGTAGATCATACGGTCCTAATTAATATATGATTATGCAAGTGGTAGTTTATGGAAGAAATGTCATAAGGGGTGGTAGATCAATATGCACTAGAAGACTCGAGGTTCACGGCCGAATGACGTATGTGTATGCACAATAATAAACTTGAGATATTTAACACATTATTTATAGATGAAGATGTGAGAGTCTGAATGAGAGTGACATTATTGACTATATGAACGGTCAAGCATAGAATAACATTAATTGCCGACCCAACAATAATGTTACAGTAAAAATAATGATATATCAATAGTTTATGAGACAAGTTATATTTACAAATTTTTTATTTACAAACTCTTATAAATTTATGGTCTTCTCTCGGAAGAACACTAGTCACACTATTTTCTCTCGGGAAAATATAATGTAATTTACAAAAATTTGTAAAAAAAAATTGTAAACATATCCTTATTCATATTTTATTATCTTAATTTACACAAATTACATAGAGAAATTATGAGAATGTTTTGTTTTACATAATTATAAAAGATTTGATAGAAAATCTATCTTAGGAATAAGGGGAAAGAAAAGACAAAGCCAACGAAGAAGTCAAACTGTAAGCAATAATTGCGCATAAACCATGAACCAGCCTGTCTCCCATTCCAACCAACACTAGAATATACTATATTAGAAATTATGAAACAAAAGCATGAATTTTTCCAGAGGGGAGAGAGAAACAACAGAGAGAAGGAGAAGAAACACTGCAAAAGTAATATCTCTCTCTCTTGGATCTCTCAGTACATATTACATTGAAAATTCACAAAATTAATAAACAAAAAGCAAAAAAAAAAAACCTTTTCTTCTACTCATGCTCCTTTCTTCCATTCCCAAGTGCTGTTTATCATATCTTTCACCAAATTGTTTTTTCCTCTTGGACATTCTGGGTATAGCATGGATCGTATCCGAGCATTTTCATCTCCAGAGTTAATTACTTCAACAAGTAAAAATGTACAGCCAGAAGAAGATTGCGGTTTGGAAGGTAATTTTCGTGTGTTACACAGTTCAGCCCTTTTTCAAAAAAATTCTTTTTTTGTTTTAGAATGAAAATGGGGTTTGCCAACAATTGTTAATACATGACATGTTTCATCATCTTAGAATGGTAAAATCTAAATGGTCAGAAAATTTAATCAAGCATTCCATATTACATTAGGCATATATGTGAATAAAACTGATCACCCTTTTTCAATATTTCATTTTTTGCTATAGGCCTTGCCACCAATGTTAAGCTGTTGTTGAAACTAATTCAAGATCATAATGTTGCTAGCACAAAAGATAATGATGAGCGCAGGTTTCAAAGGGTGAATGGAATGATGTTTATTGTAGATGATGTTAGGTCCAGGGTTCAAAAATTTCAATCTTCTACAAAGAGAAAAGCTGAACTTAGGCGGTGTAACACTGACCTTAGGCCTAATGTTCCAATTCCCAAGGACAAAAGGCTTCCTGATGTGCCTACAGATGAGAAAGAGAAGCTAAGGAAAGAGCTTAGTGCAAGCTTGGTGGCACGGCAGAGCCTTCAAGCAATGTGTTCGAGTTTGGGAAAAGAAAAGCAAATTATGGCTTCTGAACTTGCAAGAAAGGCTCAAGAGTTGACAGAAATGGAGGATTTCATCAATGATCTAAAAGCACGGAATGATACGTTGTTGAAGAAGTTGCATGCTTCCAACTCAGAACCCAAGGAGAAGAAAAGTAATGGAGTGGAAATGGAAGGCAACATAGCCCTTCAAGAGCGTAACAAGGCACTTACGGAACAACTTCAAAAGACTATTGATGGTTATCGGTCTTTGAAGAGAAAACTCAAAGACATGCAAGAGGAAAACAAGGAAATTCGTGCTACAATGGAGCAAATGGAGGTGCAAGTTCAAGCAGGCATTGACAGGATATGTGACTTCAAGAAAGGAATGATAACAACTAATACAGAAACAAACAAAGTCATAGAGGAAATTTCAGCTATGCAGCATATGCTTGAATCTCTTAACATGAAAATCTCAAAACATACACAGGAGAAAGCTTAATATGATAAGCCAAAAGCTCAATCTGTGATTGGTAGAGGCAAAATGATGCGAAGCATGATTTACATGGGAAGAACATGGACACTGTATCAACACATCATCCATGAACAGCTTGCGCTTATTCACTTCTTGCCTACATCATCTATTTTCATGCCTAGAAAGCATGCTCTTAGATCAAGAGCAGAAAGGGAATCTTTAACCAAAATAGTTCACTGTAAAATCTTTTTAATATGAGCTTGAGGAAAAAGGGTCAAAGAGGAGCATGGCGACGCTGCATGTGTTTGAGCTTAGATTTCTAGATTTCCACTGAACCAAGAATTGTATAAACCAGATTCCTGTCCTCTTTGTACGCATGTCCTAAATTCAATTTTTTTCCCACTTCAATATGATCTATTTAGTGTAGCGTTTATAAGTAAATACATTTTCACACTTACAGCAGAAAAAGAACATGAGAACCTCATATCAAGGAAGTATATCACCATATACTTTATTGTAGAAGTTATACTGATGTATTTACATAATACATGTTTGAACAACTATACTTGTAACTGCTTGTTTTCGACTTCAAACCAGCTCAAAAGGGCCAGACTTACAGTATCTTAATATTTGTAGCTTTCAGAAACATAAATTGGTTATGAATTCTCCTAACTATCAACACAATCTATACTTGACGAATATTTTATGCATGGATCATGGTGTCAGTTCGCAAGACAGGGTCATATAATCACCAAAGACAAGAAACATTTTTTTTTTTTTGGAAGCAAGACATGAAACATTTCAAGACTGTATATTAGTACATAATAATCTATAGCTAATCAAACAATCTTTTCACGATGTCCAGAGCAGTTGATCATAACTTTCTGTGTTTTCTAGTTTAAATGCTGCTATGAAGATTGACATTATTAATCTTTACATGTTTTACTAAGCATCTCATCAGATAATATTTAAATAAAATCTAGAAAAATTTGACAACACAAATGATACGAACTGACAAGATGGGCGACAGGATAAGCTAGTTAAAGTTGTTCACGAAATTTACTAACCCGCTAGTCATAGAAAAGAACTAATTTATAACAGCATAAAATGTGATATTCTTACACTATTTAATAATTTGAAGTAAAATGTGATTTTCATTGAATAAACTATTGAATTACAATTGTCCATTATTTTGATTATTTATATCAAACATAAAAGTTTCAGTTGTTAATTAGTTTTATTTCAAAAATATACATTACAATAATTTTAATATATATTTATGAAGTATTAAATAATTTTATAACTAGGTTTTTTTAAAAAAAGAAATATTATTCATCAATTCATCGATTATTTGTTTAGTCCAATTTAAACAGGTAGAATCACATGAACGAAAAAGCTCTCCCTATCAAGCTTTAACATAACTACATTCTCATGAACTCAAATTCAAGACCACTAATTAAACTAAAACAACCATTTACCAGTTGATCCACATGCTTGGAAGTAACACTTTAAATCCAACATTAAATTTCATATTATAATTATCTAATAAAAATTATTCAATCAACTTTGCAAGTTGATTATAATTCCTTTATATTGAGTTGCATAACATTGCCAGTTATTTTTTTAAACATAATAAAAGATGAAAAGGTAAAACACCAGTTTGGAATCAGGTGCATGTAAATGACCTCACAATATGAACATTTTATTGAGGATGGCTTTGCAGCTTGCAGGCTGCAATTGAATTCAGAATCCATGTATTACTTGCAACCTTTGAACCGGTAGAACTTGCCAGAACCTCCGCATCACGTTGCCTTTGGCTGAAAATCGTATCTGTTTTTAAAGGATTGCATTTATCAGGAAGCTCAAGGCTGTAAATTATGAGTGTTTGGTATGGATGCATATCAGGCGACATTGCTTCTGGGTCACCAGACACTGGTTTTCTATGCAGAATTATCCCTCCAGCAGCAATCACAAGGTCTTGCAGATAGCTCTTATATGATGGTTTAAAATCCCCCATAAAATAGAACTTGTAACCATCAAAAAGCTTCGGTTGCTGCATAAGAGATTTTGTCAACACAAACCGCTAGTTTAGTTTTGCTAACAAGCAAACGTTCAGAGAAAGACTGCAAGTACTCTGGCTTAACTCAATTGAAAATGCACCAAACCATTCAATGCATAGCTCATTGTCATTGTCATTAAATAATATTTGCAACTTTAGGACACGTGTAGGGTGTGAGGGGAAGGAAAGGTAGACAATGGAAGAGTGAAAATTGACAGACATGCGTTTCTCTAATTCTCGCTGCCCACTTTCTCTACTGCAAGCAAAGCCATGGTATATACGCTTGCATATCAGCTACTTGCATCTGTTCTTCCCCCCAACAGTTACCGTGACTATTTGAAAGCATAGATTGATGGATTGACAATTTGGGGTTCTCTTTCATTCTGCTTTGCAGAAATTTAGGTGTCCGCTACTTAAATATTTTAAGAACGGTTTCTGTTCGATCCAAGAGAGATCATATTTGATATAGGATCTGAAGTGAAGTCAAGAGATGGCGGATTATTGTGCACAAGAAAAGAGGGTTGAAGCCAATGGAGATGGTGTGTGCACAATAATAGTAGCAGTGAAGGACTTTGAGGAGTGTGTACCTCGGTTTAACCCGAGAGGGGCGTCTTTTACCTAAAACTAAGAGTTACAATAAGATTCATTCTCCCTATTAGATGTGCAACCTATTATGTGGATCCAGAACTGGATTACCTGAACTTGCTGACATGGTTATACAAGACAAAACTTGGATAAAGTTCATAGATTCAAGTCATGGTCATTGTAGCCAAGTAAAAATAATAATGATATTTAACAATAACATGGCAAACAATGAAAACTCTAACCTTGTTCAATGCTCTTAGTCGTCCAACGCGAGGACCGTCCCTGATTCCATGAATGTCAACATTTATTTCATAATGCTCCTCATCAACAGGTTTCGTTTCTTTCAAGCAAGCTCTGATCCCTGCTCAGCCAAAAACCAACCAACCCCGGAACAAAAACAATTACAAAACGACAAGAGGGAAGAAATTATTTTAGACATTTTTTAGCGGGAATATAATTTCTCATCTACACGCATAAAAATAGATAAAATTCACTTTTTTTTTGGTGGAACTAATAAAAATAAAAATAAAAAATTGGAGAAAGGGGAAATAAGATAACAGGAAGAGAGGAGGGATGGAAGAGGAAAGGAATTAAAAAGGTATTACTATTAACTATTCATTTATTAAGTCAGTTAATTAGTTATTAGTTAGATAGTTGGTTAGTCAGTTAAACTGTTACAGTTTCTTGGCGCCACTTTGTAATCTTTCTTTTTCTTTTTCTTTCTTTAGATATCTGTTTACACAGATACAGTACTTCATATATAAGTACTCCTTGTATCTGATACCAATTCAGTTAATGAGAAATGATGTATTCTTCATCTTCTTCGTGCCACTGCTCTCTGTCTTCCCTAAACACTTTGATGGTATCAGAGCAATAGGGCTCTGGTATTGTCCACCTTTTTCTTTTTTGCTTCCGCACTATAATCTTTGTTACAGATATGGTTCAATCATCTTCCCATGTAACAGATGATCAAATTAGCCAGTCAAGTCCGTATTTTCTGCATTCCAATGAAAATCCATCGTTGGTATTGGTATCTCCAGTGTTTGATGGCAAGAACTATCACACTTGGGCAAGATCCATGAAGATGGCACTGAAATCCAAAAACAAGTTGGGATTTGTAGATGGCACAATCTCATCTCCAACTCAAGAATCTGATCCGCTGTTCTTGGCGTGGGATCGTTGCAACACAATGGTTCTGTCTTGGTTGCATCGTGCAATTGCAGAATCCATAGTCCATTCAATTGTGTGGATGGAGCTAGCTTCTGATGTCTGGCAAGATTTAAAGGAGCGTTTTTCACAAACTGATGTGTTTCGAATTGCTGATATTCAAGAAGATATGTATCGATTGAATCAAGGTGATAATTCAGTAACTCAATTTTTTACTCAGCTTAAAACATATTGGGACGAACTTGATACCTTGCAGCCATTACCAAGATGCAAATGCATACCAAACTGCACTTGTGGAGTAACAATGCAGACTCATGCAAAACAAAGCAGAGAGAAGGATCATGTCATTCGATTCCTGCGTGGACTCAATGATCAGTTTGCCCATGTTCGTTCCCAAGTCATGTTAATGGATCCACTTCCAAACATTAACCGAGTATTTTCCCTGGTAAGTCAACAAGAAAGGCAAATCAATGTTGAAACTTCTACTGATGTGAAGGCCTTCTTGAATACCAATGATCAGTCCTTTGCACGTGGTCGAGGAATTTACAGAGGCAGAGGCCGTATCACCTATGGAAGAGGGAGATCCAATCCTAATAAAGTTTGTACACACTGTGGACGCACGAATCACACCATAGAAACATGCTTTGAGAAGCATGGCTTTCCCCCAGGATACAGAAACAATCTGAATCGAAAAGCAAATCTAGTTACACATGACAATACTGCTGATGCATTTCAATTTGAAGATTCAAGAATTCAATTGCCAACTAGCTCAGATGAGCAACTCCATTTTACAAAAGATCAATACCAAAGTCTACTTGGGCTGATTCAGAATCCACTTGAAAATATGAATCATTCTTCCAACATGGTTCAAACCAATGCTGTATCATCTAACCAAGGTAATGTTCAATTTCAATGGATTCTTGATACTGGAGCTACTGACCACATAACATACTCTCTTGATTTTCTTTCTTCACCTAGACAAATCAATCCTATACCTATCAAATTACCTGATGGTACCCAAGTCTTTGCCACTCACTCTGGAAATGTGATTTTGTCACCACTTCTTGTATTGTATAATGTTCTTTTTGTTTCAAAGTTCCATGTTAATCTCATTTCCATAACTAAACTAACCCGTGATTCAGATTGTTATGTCATTTTTCGTCAATTAACCTGCTCCATTTTGCAGAATACCAATGGGAGGATGATTGGAATTGCTAATCAGCATCATGGTCTGTTCACACTAATAGCACAACCTGGAAATCTTGTTAAAAACACAGCATACCAGTCAAATAAGAGCTACTGCAATAGCATAATAGTCGATTCCAAAACATGGCATCACAGATTAGGCCATTGTTCTTCATCAGTGTTAAAATCCATGTCTAAAGTCTTTCCTTTCATTTCTTGTAACAATAATGTTGATGTATGTGATGCATGTCATTATGCAAAACAGAAAAGAATTACATTTCCTTCTAGCACTTCTGAATCTCTACATTCATTTGATCTTGTACACGCAGATATTTGGGGTCCTAATGCTATTACTTCAATCCATGATCATCGTTATTTTTTAACCATAGTTGATGATTACTCGAAATTCTCTTGGGTAATGCCAATGAAAACAAAGGCTGAAAGCAGACCCCACTTGCGTAACTTCTTCAGTTTTGTTGAAACTCAATTTCATACAATTGTCAAAATCATTCGTACTGATAATGGACCAGAATTCAACTTGAAGGAGTTTTATAACTCCAAAGGTATAATTCATCAGACTTCCTGTGTTGAGTGTCCACAACAAAATGGTGTTGTGGAACGCAAACATCAACACTTATTAAATACTGCTCGGGCACTATTTTTCCAATCCAATGTTCCAAGTGTCTACTGGTGTTATTGCATTAATCATGTTGCCTACATAATTAACAAGCTTGTCACACCTATTCTCAAAAACAAATCACCTTATGATCAGTTATATGGAACACCACCTGTCTTTACTCACTTAAAGGTTTTTGGATCTTTATGCTTTGCTTCAACTCTTATTCATGGTCGAACAAAATTTGAACCCAGAGCTAGGAAGTGTGTATTTCTAGGCTATAAACAAGGAACTAAAGGCTATATACTACTTGATGTTCATTCAAACAGTATCTTTGTGTCTAGAAATGTACTGTTTTATGAGTCTCATTTTCCCTTTTCTAATTCCAATCTTTCTGTCCCATCCTTATCACCACCTTTTTATATTCAGTCATCTAATGTTCAATATGACACTGATGTTCCTTTTTCAAATGTTCAACCCCGTATTCAGTCTCAACCCATTATCCCATCTGATGCTTTGATTAATAATCATAACATTTCTGTTTCCACTGATACTGACAACAGTGATCCAGCTCTTAGACGTTCTACAAGGTTTAAAACCAAACCTTCATATTTGACAGATTTTCATTGTGGCTTATCAAGTATGACAGACACCAATCACTCCTCAGGTATTCATGCTAATCCCTACTCTCTTTCTAAAGTACTTTCCCTATTCACAATGCTCTCAACCATATATGAATTTCTGTCATAATATCATCACCGAGACTGAACCCACCACATACAAACAAGCTGCATCTTTTCCTCATTGGCAAGAGGCTATGCAAGCAGAGATTAAAGCCCTGGAGTTGAATAACACATGGTCCCTAGTAGAACTTCCACCCAACAAGCAATTAATAGGATGTAAGTGGGTATATAAAATCAAGAGAAAGCCAGATGGTTCTGTAGATCGTTACAAGGCACGTCTAGTAGCCAAAGGGTACAATCAATGTGAAGGAGTGGATTATTTTCAAACTTTCTCACCAGTTGCTAAAATGACAACTGTTCGGGTTCTTTTGGCACTTGCAGTTGCTAAAAATTGGCATTTGGAACAATTGGATGTAGACAATGCTTTTTTGCATGGTGAGCTCCACGAAGAAGTCTTCATGTCCCTACCTCCTGGCATCTCTTGTTCTGTTCCTAATGGAGTTTGCAAGCTTCAAAAGTCGTTATATGGATTGAAACAGGCAAGTCGCCAATGGAATGCTAAGCTTACTCACTCTCTCCAATCATTGGGTTACAAGCAATCTGTTGCAGATCACAGTCTCTTTGTTCGCAGAACTTCCACTTCTTTCACAGCATTGTTAATATATGTTGAAGATGTGGTTCTAGCTGGTGATGACTTAAATGAAATCCAGCGTGTTAAATCCACTCTACACAGTCAATTTAGAATCAAAGACCTTGGTCCTCTACGATTTTTCTTGGGATTAGAGGTAGCTCGATCCAAGCAAGGTCTGATTCTGAACCAGAGGAAATATACTCTTGAGTTATTGGCTGATTCTGGCCTCCTCGCAGCCAAACCAGCTTCTACACCTTTGAATCCTTCAGTCAAACTCCATCAAGATCAGGGTGAACCTTATTCTGATCCTTTAGCTTATAGAAGACTTGTTGGCAGGTTATTGTATTTGACTACCACGAGACCCGACATCACACATGCTGTCAATCACCTTAGTCAGTTTGTATCCCATCCTATGATTGATCATTTTACAGCTGCATGCCATGTCCTGCGCTACCTCAAAACTTCTCCTGGAAAAGGTTTAATGTTCCCTGCTTCGAATTCCTTACAGATTGCTGGTTTTTCTGATAGTGATTGGGCTTGTTGCCCTGATACAAGAAAATCCATTACTGGTATCTGCATTTTCATGGGTGAAGCTTTGATTTCTTGGCGATCAAAGAAGCAGCACACAGTCTCTCGTTCATCATCCGAGGCTGAATATCGTGCCATTGCAGCTGCAACATGTGAGCTCCAGTGGTTGGCTTATCTTTTCGCTGATCTCCATATTCCATTTTCTCAACCGGTGCCTCTTTATTGTGACAATCAAGCAGCTGTATACCTTGCTCATAATCCTAGTTTTCATGAGCGTAGCAAACACATCGAAATCGATTGTCATATCACCAGAGAAAAAATTAATTCAGGTCTTCTTCGTTTACTTCCCATTTCCACTCACCATCAATTAGCAGATGTCTTCACAAAGTCTCTCCATCCTGCTCCATTTCGGGAGATTATTTCCAAGTTGGGATTGTTTGATATTCACCTCCCAACTTGAGGGGGGCTATTACTATTAACTATTCATTTATTAAGTCAGTTAATTAGTTATTAGTTAGATAGTTGGTTAGTCAGTTAAACTGTTACAGTTTCTTGGCGCCACTTTGTAATCTTTCTTTTTCTTTTTCTTTCTTTAGATATCTGTTTACACAGATACAGTACTTCATATATAAGTACTCCTTGTATCTGATACCAATTCAGTTAATGAGAAATGATGTATTCTTCATCTTCTTCGTGCCACTGCTCTCTGTCTTCCCTAAACACTTTGAAAAGGAAACATATGAAACATTCGAATAACAATAGGTTTAATTTTCCACGTTATTTATAATTTTCTCCGTTCTATCCCAAGACACAGTGTCCGCCAATCTATATTCGTAGTCACACTCTATTGAGTCTTGTTTAATTATTTTTTTCCAGGTATGTTTAGGGTAAGTTTCGATCTACTTTTACAACTTTTTTGTATCGAACTCTTAGTAACAAATCATTCAGAGATCGTCTCATTACGTGTCCAAACCACCTCAATCTATATTTATTCATCTTTTTCACTATCGATACTATTTCTATCTTTCGTCGAATATCTTTATTTATTTTATTTGTTTATTTTTATTTTTATTTTATTTTATTATTTATTTATTTTAATCTCCTCTTATTTATCATTGAATTCAACTACTGCCGATTCCAACTAAGTTGGATTAAAGATATTGTTAACGTTGACGTTGTTTTTTAGTGGATCTCAGTTTTTTTATATACGCATAACACAATTTTGTGTTCTGCAATATAAGAAAGTATATTTCGTTTTTTATAATATATATATAGGGATTTACTAATGTACGTAAATAGGAGATATTATATCTCCTATCACTTTCACAATCATATTATAAGACTAACATAATTATAAAATAAAAACGAAAAACAAAAAAATTCTGTAGGAAAAGACACTACTCTCCTATGGCTGGAGAGTAGTTTTTCTCATATTTATAACTAGGGAAATATGTCTCTCATGCAGTAGGAGATAGAATATTTTTCCTACACATACATCAAAATGCGTATCTTCTCTTTTCTTTTTTTCTTTTCTATTTATTGTGGTGGGACCCACAATGCCTTTGAGTCTACCACATGAGAGAAGATACCTCTTACTACGTAAGAAAATACAGACCCTTATAACTATTTAGTAGAAAACTAAACAGTAAAATCACACGTAAATAAATGAAATCGACTTACACTCAATATTGAGAATCCACTTCCCCTCCAGGATGCCCAGCAATACTTTCAGGGTTCTTCTGCATGCGCCATTTTCATCTATTGATGCTATAACATGGGTTACGCTTGAATCCCAATTTTTCAGAACTGTAACCTTGGATACTCTTTTAAATTCTGAAACAACATCCTACAGTTCCGACCATAAAAGACAACCAATAAACAAGATTTCTTTAATGAGGAGAATTCTAATGACCAAATGCAATTATTTACCCTCTCCTGTACGGATAGAGCTGAACAACATAGTACAATTTTCTTGTATGATCCATCAACAGTTCGATTTTGGCTTGTAGTCTCATGTTTCCGACCACCGCTTTTAACCTCTCTAACTGTGCATTTCTTGCTCCTTTCTTGGGATACTGAACTTTCACAGGGCAAGATGGAGGAAGCATGTATAGGGCATAACATGACGAAGTTTTCCTGAAGCAGTAAATTAGCAGGATCTAATTATATTTTTTTATCTAAAAGGCGGCATGAAATTTTAAGTGCGGTTCGATTTTTATCACGTACCATATCCCATCGACATTGAGAAGTCAACTTGGCGCAAGGAACATGAAAGCTCCTGCGACAGCTTTTATCATAACAACCGAGTGCAGCCCCTTTAAGTCCACAAAAGCTACATTTGATTCTCCTACTTCTGTTTATTTCAGCTTCAAGATTAATTGCATTATCATCTTCAAAATATACATTGGGCGCCCTGGTGCATATTTAAAACACATTACTCATAAGTCCAAATTCAAAACTATGGCTAGTAACTAAATTCAACTTAATCAATTCCATTTTAGGCAAATATTTAATTATATGAAGTATGAACGATGATCAACTGCAACATAATATGTTAGACTTAGAATAACATCAAGATTTGGGAAGAAGCAATGCTTTTCTCAATAAGAGCAGGTCCAAAATACCAATACTTCCATATTAAGAGCTTTCTCACATAGACAAAACCTATGCAAAAATGATTATATCACTCGTATGACAATTCTTTACCATTCCGTGCAGTTCCTGTGACAATGTGTGACTTTAGATCCTCCTTCATAATCTGCAATTACAGGTTTCCCTTCAAAGTAATGCACCATCGGTCCAGAAACCTGTATGTTGGACTACATAATGTAAGTTCCAGCCCATTTATAGTAATGACAAGATAAGCAAGCAAACAAAGTTTACCTTTGATTCTTCTGATGACAGACAGAAAGCACATTGATACATTTTGACATGGCTCTCACATTTCCTTAAAACAGGTTCATCCACCAATGGACAATGTTTCTCTTTTGATGGATTATTCAATGCTCTGACATCAGGACCTCGCTGACGACTTTCATTAGGTTGGACTCCATCACTATTTTTAGTAGTAGAGATACAATCAGAAGAAAGTTTCAGCATTTTAGTACTCCTCAATTCTCTGCTGCAAGATATAGATTTTCTGGAAAAATTGTTTTTGCTTTGCCTGCTATTGGAGGCCTTTACATCATTATTCGCCTGCAGACTCAAAAAGGATGAAGTAGAACCAGCAAACTCATTAGCTTGGTCTTGCATTGAAGATAAATCTTTAGCTACATCCTGCACATAATCCAGCTTTTGTTTTCCAGATCTATTTATCTGACTTTTTCCAGCAATGTCCTGAGGACAATGCTTTCCACTTTCTTGTTTACATGGTGAAGTATGTGAATTCTTAGCCATATTCACTTCATCATTGCTCAGAACTCCTAATACATTGGAGACTGTACAAGCAGTTTGAGGTGTTAGATTTTTACTGGTATTGAAACAAACCCTCTTGCCCCTTCTATTAGTCTTCCCCAGATTAGAAGATTTGTGCTTATAATCCCGTGCTTGCTCCTGATTGCCTCTTAATGAGATATTTAAATCAACATTCATTCCATCAATTGGATCATTTTGTTCCACAATCTGCTCTTGCCTAGCTTTTTCACTAGCCTTCCTCCTTCTCTTTGTAGACTTTTGTATTCCATTTAGATCATCATAACTTATAATTTGTGGAGAGAACACACTCGGTGGAAACACATCGGCCAATCTATTTCCTTCTTTAGGATTCTCAGTTTTTCCTTTGTCGGCAAAAGCACTTGACTGATTTGTTTTCAGCTCCTGTGAGTCTGCTACCAATTCCTCATGATTTTCATCAATCTCACCAGCATCTACAACCTGCAACTAACATACAACTTATTAAACCTTCAATAGGTAGGTGACGGATAAGATCCTAAATTATGTATGAATAACCCTTCGCTTCAATTCTCTCACTACCTGCATTCTGAAGGGACTTGAAAATAATTCAGGAGAGCAAGGCCTTTGTGTCCATTCAAACATCTCACTATCAAATAAATCAGCAGAGGCTTTATTTTGCACCTCATCCTACATGACAATGGCACGAAACAATATTACTAATTTAATATTAATTCATACCAATTTTTTCAGTGTTCCCCAGCTTGAACAATTCAACCTGCTTCAATTTATAACCAGTCAAATTCGAATTTCCCAAAATAAAATAAAATGACTCTGTCAGTTAAACCAAAATTTGAAGTTGAGTAACTTCAACAAGGTTTCCTTGTCTTAATAATCGAGTAATCAATTAAGTAAAAAAATAGTTTAAAACATAGATGTTATATATAAGAGCTAAATGTCAAATAATTTCCATCAGACATATAAAATGCAGGTCTATCAGCAAACGGTTAAAAATTTTATCATTTCTGAAAACCTTAGTTTGTTATAATCGTTTACTTACTGAAGGAGCTGCTTTCGAAGGGTTTTCATCATCAGAGTCCTTGAGATCACTGAATGAAGGAGGGATTGGTGTTGAGCCATCAATAAGTTGATCCTCATTAATGTGCTGACTTAACTTTTCACCATCTTCCTCCTCTCTTAACCAAAAGAAAGGCGAACGAATATGATCATCTTTATTACTTTCATTTGCCATGACTGAAACCTTTTCTGTTCCCTCTTTGATAATTGCGCTAGGAGAGTTTCCAAACTTCAAATTTTTTAATGGAGTTTCTGAAAGAAGATTTTGTGGCACCTGAACCCTTTTCTTTGCTGGAAAAGAAGGTTTTGCAAAATCAGAACCGGAGTTTTTCATGCTGGTATTAATCTTCTTCCTTGACTTCTTTCTCTTTAAACTTTTTTTCTCCTGTACATGATTTTTATGAGTTCCACCAGCTTCTTTCTTACCAGAGTCAGCATCACCTTCACATTGTTTTTCTCCATCTGTAAGACAATTTAAGTGTTAGTAAAGTACAAATGAATCCATTCAGTCTAGTAGGTTTCTCGATTGTAAGCAAGGCACATACATATAAACTTATAGAGCTAAGCATGCAAATCTAAGTAAAAGAAGAAGAAAAAAAGGCAGTATGTGATTAACAGATGACAAACTAAAACATGATTTGCATGTATTAGTGACAACGCAACATCAAAGTAGTGCATATACTATGGTCAGAAATAAGGAATTAAATTAATTGTAATTAACCTATATACAGTTGACAATTCTCTTTTTTGGAAGAAATTTATTTAAAACCAAATCAGTTCTTTGGCCCATTCTAATCAAAATTAATAATTAAATAAATACCAGTCATAATAACATAAAATAAAAGCTTTAAAAATGGCAGGTTGCAAAAAAGTGCTGCACAAGAACAATAAACTGAGAGATAGTCTTGGGAATAGAGATACATTTCAATATTGATATATATCAAATTAAAAGGCACAATCACCTGATAACTTGGTAGCAGGATCATTCTGAGTGACAAACATACTAATTCCCGAAGCAACTTCCATGCTTTTGTAGATGCTGACCAAGTTGTCCATGTGAGGAGCAGGACGAACCTCTACCAAAAATACAGATTGCCCAAAAATTTAACTAGCCAAAATTACTAGAAGACTTGAACCCACAGCATATGAGAAAGAGATGCATAATGAATTGGAACAGTCACTCTACTTTAACATCAAAAACCAAGGGTTACGACCAAAAGCAAAATATCATGCTTAGCTAACAATATGCTTGAACGTAATTATAAATTAAAAGTCAGTATTCCATCCAAAATTTATAGAAAGGAATCTAAGAAGCCAAAGAATGCAAAAGGAACGGAATTTGAACATGAATTTTTTGAGACATTGGAACAGAAAGTTCAAGCAAATACCAGGCTCACGTTCTCATGCATCACACATGAAGAGAGTGCAAGCCGCACAATAAAAATAACGTGCTCATGAAAAATATAATCATCTGTGCAAGCCACTCTTGGGAATGCATTTAGACTATTGTGATCTCAGTAAGAAAATTAACAAGATCTAAGTATCCACTGGGACTCACAGATTTACTCATTTGCAAAAATCCCTTATTTGAAAAACATTGTGAGTGATTTTATTGGGGTTTAATTGGGAGTGATTTTATTGTCAAAACATTGTGTGCTTTTATACTAATAAGCAGGAACATTCAGTTTGAAAAATAAAAAAGAAAACGGGTTATGAGTGCAGTTTTAGGGTTATATAAGATTGTAAGAGTATGAGACGTACCTCTACGAGTGAAGGGTACTTTACAGACAGGACATGCAGAAGCAGACTTCATGGACTTGAAAATACATGAGCTGAATCAAAAGTAACAGGTTACATGTTGAGAAGGAAAAGAAACGCAAAATTTGAGTTGAAAAGAAAATAGAGGGAAAGAAGGGAATGTATTACTTGCAGAAAATATGATTGCAGGTAAGTGAAACTGCAGAATCGATCAAACTCAAACTGTATGCATGAACAATGAATTAGGAATAGGAATAAGGAATAGCAATGTAAGTAGAGAAAAAGAAGAAAGAAGAAAAGAGATTGATTATGAATCAAAATTTTCATACCAAATGGGACATTTGAGTTCTCTGCCCATTCTCTCCAGATCCCCCATTTCAGCTATCGAGTCGATCTCTCCAACACCAACAACAAACAAACACAACTCGTTAGGGTAAGGGCTTTAAATTTTATTTTTTGAATTCAAAAGGCGCGCTGTCTCACGCGCCAATTCGTTTCGTTTCGTTTCGCTTTTTGGCGGCTGAAATTTGAAACTCAATCCCTTTCCTTATTTGTTATATTCTACCAATGAAAATTGCTCTGTATGCTTAATCCTTCTATATTAATATTAGTCAATAACTTAATTACTCTTTGAATATTATCTATTGATTCACTGATTACTTGACTAATTTAATTTGAGCTGACTCAATTGCTTAATAATTTAAGGGCTTTATATCTCTGTTGTTAACATAGAAGATCAGATTTTACAGCAGACAGAAACAAAAGTGAGACTCATCATATTTTTTGAAAAATAAAAATAAAATTAATATGGCATAAATTGTGATGAGTTTATAGCTGTAAAAAAACTTCTTCTGCTGTGGCAGAAGAAGTGTTTTACCCATAATTTAATCCTGATTGATCACTTTGTAGTAAAATTTAAAAAAAAAATAATAATTAATTACTTTGGGATAAATTTTAACCTATTTATCCAGTCACAATTTATAAGAAAAATAATTGAGCATATCACTCATTTTGATAATAAAAAAAATTATTTTTTTCAGTAATTATAATTATCGCATTGCAGAACATGAGACAATATAGATCTAACACAATCGTAAGAAAATTGTTCATCAAGATATTTATGCCTCATTTGATCAACTAAATAATTCGACATATTACCAGTAATCTTTACATGAACATGAACCACCTCTAAAATGGTGGAACCTACTACGATCCCTGATAACAATCTCTCTATCATAAACCTTTGATATGAGTTTAATAGCCATATGACAATCTGCACAAACTCTTAAATTCTTCATAACCCTGATTGGGGTCCCTGGTGTTGTATTTAAGAGCATAAAAGCAATTGCAACTTTTTCACTATGATAAGACAAAGCTTGTTCCTTCTCCTCTTCTTCTATATCTGCAAGCACATTTGCTGTATGAGGCACATAACCTTCTAACTTCAACAATTCTGTGATCTTCTCTAGTAGTTTATATACTTCCTGACTTTGAGGATGAGATCTATCACCCATAGTAAATTCATAAACGCGGTTGCCATACTCAACAAGACTATAACCTGGGGTTTTCTTAACACCATCCTCTATCATTGACCTCCTCACTGTTTGTACATCTGACCAACGACGTTCAGAGGCATATAGATTTGAGAGAAGCACATAATCCCCACTATGATTAGGCTCTAACTTCAATATATGGGATCTTGCTATTTCTCCAAGACTCAAGTGTCCATGTATTGTACATGCCCCTAATAAGGTCCTCCAAATAACTGCATTTGGCTGCATTGGCATACTCTGAATATATTCATAAGCTTGTTTAACTAAACCTGCCCTACTCAATAGGTCCACCATGCAACCATAGTGTTCTATCCTGGGCATGATACCATATTCCTCGTTCATCCTTCTAAAGTAATTGAACCCTTCATCCAACATCCCACAATGGCTACAAGCATACAAGACACCAACAAAAGTGATCTCACCAGGCACCAGTTCTTGCCCTTCCATCTCTTTGAAAAGCTCAAGTGCTTCCTCACCAAACCCATTAACAGCCAAGCCAACAATCAAAGATGTCCAAGAAACCACATTTCTTTCTCTCATCTCACTGAATACTTGTTGGGCCTCCCTGATGCTCCCACATTTTGCATAAAGGTCCAACAGTGAATTAGTAACATGCAAGTTCTCTCTCAAGCCAACTTTCAACAAGTACACATGAACCCTACGTCCTAATTCAAGAGCTCCAAGCTCAGCACACGCAGATAACAAGCTAACCACAGTGAACCCATCTGGCTCTACACCCTCCGTACTCATTTCCCTGAACAGAGTCAAAGCTTCATTGGGCCTGCCATTGAGAGCAAACCCATTAATAACAGAATTCCAAGCCACAAGATCTCTGTCCTTCATTAACTCAAACATCTGGTATGCGCTTTCTGTATCACCACAAGCAGCATATATATGAAGCAAACTATTCTGAACAAAAACCAACGACTCAAACCCATTTCTTATCGTAACTGAATGGATTGCTTCTCCCTCCCTAACATTCAATGACTTAGAAATAGCCTTCAGAAGAAAAGGGTAAGTGTGAGTGTCAGGTTCAACACAAGACACCAACATTTGGCGGTAGATATGAAGTGCAGGGCTTGGGTTTTCACTTTCAGCGTAGCCCCTAATCATGGTGTTCCACGTAAACACATTTGGGTTATGTAATATGGTAAATACATGGTAAGCATAGGACATGGGTGCAGAGAGGGACACAATTGTGAAGATAAGATGCTTGCCCATGTCAGGGTTGTTGAGTGGGACACCATGCCTTATGGAAAATGCATGGATTTGCCTTAGTTTGTATTTGGAAGAGGCACAAAATTGCAAGAGAGCAATGCATTTAGTGAGAATGTATGATATTGGGTTTTCTGGGTTGGTTGATAAGAAACTTGTAAATGTAAAGGAACATAAATTGTGTTTGGGGTTGAATGGTGATGGAAGGACATGTAACATGGATGTGTGACTGTGCATCAACGAGGAAAACTTTGAGTACACGTTCATTTGCCTCGATCTCAGTCACACCAGTGGGAAAGGGTTATCAACTTGCAACACAATGACAAAGGTTTCGATGTAATTAGAGTCTCATGTTACAATTTTTTTAGTGCATAATAATTGTACAAATTATAAGCAAATAATAAAAACAAATATCTACTTGGATAGAAATGCTCTTATTCCTTGATTTAAATTCAACACGGTGATTGTAAGAGCTGCGCTGATATTTGCACTAACGGGGTTATTTGCAGGTTGCAGAAAGTCAGCAACGTTGATGGTGAGCGATGATGATGGATGAGTATTAATAATTAAGGGAAAAGTGTTTCTCTTATATCCTTTCATTCTAACATGAGACTCACACTTTTATATCTTTTTAATGCACTCTCTCTCTCCTCTTTTATCTATCTTTTTTTCTCACTTAAAATGACACAATCTTACCTCTTTTAAAATGATACACATTTTTTTCAATAGTTAATATAGTTAATATTTGGGTCGATAGATAACGAAAATTAAGAAATATAGTCATAAAAATAAGAGATTGCTTTTTCTTATGTCATTGGAGACAAGACTATCTCCTATAGAGACATCTTCAAGTGGGTCCTACACTATAACAAAAAGAAAATAAAAATAAAAATTGATGGCTCAAATTTCGAAGGATGTAACGCCCCGTTCTAGAACCGGTTTGTTAACATTGCATTATGATATTAAGCGCAGTTACAATCACATGGGTTCAATTAAAAATCCGGATAAATTTTTCATTTTAAAACGTACCGAACTTATAATACCCATTTTCGTGATCATAACCATATTACCTTGCGGAAACAGATAAATTAAGCTTAACATCATGTTCATTTTCAATTTTTAAACCATTAATTTACTTATTATTTAGTTCACATCTTCTACTATATTGTAGGTTTCTTCATTAGCTACCTGTGGCTTCAAACCGTGCTCAAATCGGAGCACTGTAGCCCAAGTTAGGACAATTTGAAGCAACACAAGAGAGTGTTGGTCACAGGCCCCGCGCGCTTCAGCGCGCTACTGGGCGCTCAAGCGCGCGCTATCGGGCGCTAAAGCCTCCATCTGGGCGCTTAAGCGCACGGAGGCAGTAAGCATCAGACATTCCAGTGTGGATGGGCGCTTAAGCGCGCAACAGGGCGCTCAGGCGCGCTATCCTGGGCGCTCAAGCTCCCACTGGGACGTTTTAGCGCGCAGAGACAGAAGCATCTCCTCCTACAGTGGCTAAGGGCGCTCAAGCACGGACCAGGGCGCTCAAGCGCGCAACCCTGGGCGCTTAAGCCCCACCCTGGGCGCTAAAACACGAGGGGACAGTAAGCATCCCAACTTTCTGCAGCAAAGGGCGCTTAAGCGCAAGCCAGGGCGCTCCAGCGCGCAATCCTGGGCGCTTCAGCCCCCACTTGGGCGCTCCAGCGCGAGGAGGCAGAATGCATTGGCACTCGCAGGGGCAGCAGGGCGCTTGGGCGCGCTCCTGGGCGCTTAAGCGCGCTGCCAGGGAATTCCAATTCCCACATTTCTCAAGTCCAAGCCTAGGGAAAGATGCATCCCCATTACAAACCCCAAATGTCCATGCCCCAAAACTAAATCCTAGCACTCATCCAACCTCTCCTCATGAGATTTAGCTAGAATTTGGGCAGCATGACCTTTGTTTTCTCATCGTTTACCAGTTTAAACAAAGGGGTACCTAATTGATTTTCAGCCCAACCAATTCAACAACTCAATACATAACAAGCATGCATATATTGAATTTCAAGTAGGCATCATTTACATTACATATCCTTTACAAATCATAGAACTTAGCTTACAAAACACTATGATCATTCCCTTGGCTCCCATCAACAAAAGGTGTAACCAAAGGCATGAGCATAGGCTAAGTTCATCCAATGAATCAAGATATACAAATGACCATGGGCTTTCAAAATAAAATCCTATACATGTCAACTACAAAGGCATGCATAAACTCAAAAGAAATGCCACATTTCATGCATAATCCAGATATGGCCACTTGCCACCAGAGGCTCCTGCAGCATCCTTACCTGAAAGGGGGTCCCCACAACACGAGGTGAGATATACGAATATATCCAGTAAACCAGGGGTCCTTGGAGCATCTCTCCACCCCACAGTTCCATATCAGTGTAATAGCAATAACAATAATAATGCAGTAAATACATATCTATGCAAAGTGCTATACATCTCCAGGAGAACTCCCTCGAGCTCTCAAGCTGTCCTAAGGAAACTCAGATGCAAATAGTCCTACTGGCCAGCTAACTACCAAGTATGATTTACGCATCGTCATGCAACATACCACATAGGGAAACACCATCCTATGCCACACCAAATGCATACACATACATATAACAAAGCATTACACTATTTCATTGCATTTATATACACTATAATTACCACTACCCTTTCAGGGCTTGGTGGAACAATCAAGGGAATTACACCCAAGGTCCGAAGGCTTACCTCAAGCTTCAATTCGACCTTTGTTCACCACCAATGTCAACAATACTCTACTCCAAAACCAACACCTACACATGGTGTAATGCAATCAACACATTGCATCCAAGAGTATTTCACAATCAACCATCAACTACTCAATTCAAGACACAACACAAGTATGAGCTTACCAATTACAATGAGCTACCCAAGCTCCATAGCTTGTTCAAGCGGTTGATCACTCACGGTCGGTCCAAATGTCTCAATCCTAGACATCATTAGGACACAATCATCAATCAACCAAGTCATACCATTCATCAACAATGCAAGAAATCCAATATCAAGCATCATATTCTTGCCATTTTACAAGTATACTCATTTAGCTATCTAAGCTCATTTTCACCGATTAAATGATATTCCTAGCATTTTTCATAACATGCTCTAAGCTCCATTCTTCCTAGAACATAGCTAATTTAACAACATTTCATCAAAATCCCTAAAACACTATTCATAAACCCTAACTCATGCAAATTTCAAGGAATCATGAGGTTCAAGGGTTAAAATCTTACCACCAAGGGTCACACAACAATGATATGAGTGCTCCTCAAGCTCCCATGGAGGTAGAAGCCACCAAAACTCCAAAACCTCTCCAATGGCCGAATGTTTTAGAGGCAATATCCCTCTCCACAATGCTCCCCACTCAAAACAAAGCAAGGATTATGAAAGAGGAGGAGATTTGGAGTGGTTTAGGCCTTTGAACGGATGGATTTGGTTGAGATTTGCTTTCTCTCTCTCTTTTTCCCTTTTCTTCTTCCCTCTCTTCTCCCTCTCTTCTCTTCTTCTTTCTGTTCTGCGTCGACGGGCTGGGTGGGAAAAATGGGGATTCTTTTGTGTTTTTAAGTCACTTACTTGGTTAAGTGACTTATGTGGGTATTGGTTCGTCTATCTATTCAACTCCAATAATTACCAAACTTTACCCAAAATTCTGGAATATTATTCTAGGAATATTACTATTTTTATTTTTATATTTTGGGTACTTTTGCCAGTACCCATTTATACCCCTTAATTTTCACTGAGTACACTTTTTAACTCTAAAGTGACTCAAATTCATTTAATTAAGCCTTATACTTAATTTCACTCACTAAAACATGTTTAATTAATTAATTACACTAGATTTACTAATTAATTAAGTTGGGCTATTATAAAGGATCTTTGGTATGAGGTAAGATCTCTCCAATGACATAAGAAAAACATTACTCTAAAAATAAACGAAGAAGAAATTATGTTTTTATGTGACACAACACTTGTTGACATGTGTTGTGGACCACTTATGTGGTACCCACTTCCTATCCCCACTACATGGAGTATCTCATTCCGCCATTCTCTCCAAACTCCCATCTACTAGCAATAACCACCCACTAGCATTGCATCATGTCATTAAGTCACCTGCAAACTACCCACTAGGAGCACAATCTCCTAGTGCATTCATCTGTATATAACCTCTTATAGCTAACAAAGAAGGGGATCTCAGAACTCACCTACATACTTGTGCCCATAGCACATCTTATCCACCGCAGGTGACTCACACACACACCCCTTGTTCATCCCATCGGACTTTGGCCTAAGGTACATGACTTCTCATTGCCTGTCATCTTTACCATAAGCTCCGTAGATACAAATACTAGCTATCCTGTTAGACCATTAATGTTCACTCCAGAACATTTGGCGCCGTATGTGGGAAAAGATAAATTTTTACTCCCACAACCTATGATGCACGGACACGGACACGAGACACGGGACACGACACGACACGACACGATGACACGTTAATTCTAAAAAATATCATATTTGGACACGTTAGGACACGTTTTGATATTAAATAAAAATTTTAATATATATAATATAATTATACGTGTTGATCTTTGCAATCTGTCATTGCTGTCATGTCACGTGAACGTGATGGAGAAGATACACTAAAATTAAATAAATTTTAAAGGTTACATTACAGGGGATAAGGGAACAGAAGTTTTTTGTTAGTGGTTATTTTGCTTTTAACAGTAAATATATACAATGGAACACCCTTTTATCCATTAGTCAAAAGATTGAAGTTAGTAGAAAAAACACTCAAGTGAAGAGTACCAAAAACAAAAAGGCATAAAAAAGAAGTAAGATAGGCATCACATCGTACATAGTAGAAAAAGCACTCAAGTGAAGAGTACCACAAACATTGATGGCAACAAAAACACAGCAGGGTAAGAGTACATAAAAATAGTAAGAAAATGAACAACAGTATTGGCTGAGCAGCCAACATCAGCATACCGGAGACGAGGAGGGTGTTATAGATCTGCAATAAAGAACAGCTAAGCTAGTACAAATTAGGAATCCCATTAACAGATGAGATATCAAGTGGTAGGAAACGAAGGACTGATAATCAAAAAGGCGAGAACCGAAAGAGACTTACCGGAGACGACGACCAACGACCGGAGACAATGACCGACGACTGACGATGACCGACGACGAAAGAAGAGAAGGACGGGGACCAGACGACCAGCAGC